CCCCCCTCTGATAAACCCCAAGGCTGCATGATATGGGCGTGCTGCCCACCAAGAAGAGCCTGGTGCAGCTCGAGAAGCTGCCCACCAGCGCCTTCTGCCGCCGCCGCCTCGCGGTCGTCATGGTGCGCCTCAAGATGTGCGAGACCGTCAAGGAGGCCGCCACCTTCGTCGAGCAGGGCCACGTGCGCGTGGGGCCCAACACTGTGACGGACCCTGCGTTCCACGTCACCAGCGCCATGGAGGACTTCTTGTCGTGGGCGGACACGTCCAAGATCAAGCGCAAGGTCATGCAGTACAACGACGCGCTGGACGACTACGACCTGCTGCAGTAGGCGCGGGCGGCGCGGGCTGCCGCTGCAGTGGACAAACGCAGGAGACTGCTTGGTTGCGTTGCTGGAGCAGAGGTGTGGCGCACGCTTTGAAACCCCTGTGCGTGCCCCTGCGCCCGTGGGGTTTGCGTGCCAAAGCGTCCCGGAGCTCTGCGCTTCGGCAGAGGAGCAGCTGTGGGCCCAAAGGCTGTGCTGGTACTAACGCCTACTTGTCCACTTTCCACCTTGTGGTGTCGATTGATGCGTGTTGTGTTTTCATAGGGTTTGTGTACAGCGAGACGTGGACGTTATCGTGACACGTGACGGCTGGTGCGCGCTGTAATACGCGCGCAATAGCGCAGCAGAGGACAAGCAGTGGCCAGCAGCAAGGAAATGCTGGCCGCAAAGAACAAAGGGTGACGTCTATCAACAGCAAGGAATGACAGGCAGAATTGGAGGAAAAGCGCCGCAGGGTTGCGCGCCTGCTTGAATCGGACCACGTCAGTGCGTCAGGCTGCGCCACACGTGCATGGCAACCACCGCTGATTGCTGAGCAAGGCCAGGAAGCCGTGCAGCCACAACAAACGGTCAAACTGCGCAACTTGGATGATTATGCAAAGACAAGAAAACCTGAACAGTCGGCCCTGGATGACAGGCAAGGGGCCGCCAGATATGCGCCGGCTCGAAGCACTCACGTGCCTGTCATTCCTGTACCTCCTCAGCCGTCCATCGCAAAGAACGTGTGCACGAAATACAGATTGAAGGACATGAGCGCCATGCCGGCAAACATCGAGGCGGTGGCTTTGCTCTTGCCGGCGTGCTCCAGGGCCAGGGGCAGCAGCTCGTGGAACGCGATGAACGCCATGATGCCGCCGACAGCCGCCAGCATCTGGGAGTCACGGGGTGGCAGCGACGGGTCGTATGTTTAGCGCGAGCGGGGGGGGGG